GAGGTCGCCTCGGTCACCCGCATGTGCTCCAGGACCTGGTTCACTTCAGCAGCGCATGAGCCAGCCATGGCCGACCGCTGGCCTGCTCGCAACTGCCTCGGCGCGGAAATCAAATCAAGAATGCCCCGAGCACCGCGGTGTGCTACGGAGCGCATAGGGAGAGATGCACATGTTTGATGTCTAAGTACGTGAACAGTGTTTGCGTCTTGTGTGGTGGTGGGGGTGGGGGGGGGTGGGGGGGGGGGTGGGGGGGGGGGGGGGGGGGGGGGGGGGGGGGGGGGGGGGGGGGGGCAGGCCCTTTCATGTAACTGTTATGCTATGGGCCTCTTCATGGCCACTAGGGGGCCAGGAACACTTGGACATGAACGCAACTATGCATGGGCACGGTTAGACATGAACTACGCGCATATACAGGGAGGGAGCTATTGAGTAATGGAGCGAGGGGGCAATGGGGGAGAGACACGAGAGAGAGAGAGGGCGAGAGAGAGAGAGAGAGAGAGAGAGAGAGAACAACAAAAACAGAGAAAGAGAGAACGAGAGAGAAGGACAGAGAGAGAGAGAGATGGGGTAGGGAGAGGGGGGAGGGAGAGAGGGACAGGCGGGGATGGAACGGGGGGTGGATTGAAAGACGGGGGCAAAGCGATAGAGAGAGAGAGGGAGAGGGAGAGAGAGAGAGAGAGAGAGAGAGAGAGAGAGAGAGAGAGAGAGAGAGAGAGAGGGAGGGAGGGATTGCTACAGGAGATCATGGTGCCCAACCTTGTTGTCGTCGTCGTCGGCGTCGTCTGTCATCGTCGGCCGTCGTCGTCCTCGTCCTCGTCCTCGTCGTCGTCGTCGTCGTCGTCGTCGTCGTCGTCTCTCGTCGCCGTCGTCGTCGGCGGGGGTCGGTCGGTCGGTCGGTCGGTCGGTCGTCGTCGGGCCAGGAAACTCAAACGCATCTAGCGTGGAGCAAGTTGCCCTCGCGCAGGAGGGGGGGGCCATATCTTTTTGTGTCTCGCGGTGAGCGGCGCAATCGGGGCAGAGCCTCCTCGCCGACGGGATGAATGCCCAGACTGTTCGAACGGCCTAGGGCGACTGCGAGCAGAGTGGCCTCTAGCGAGCGAGCGGCCTATCGGCCCACAAAGCCAGCGGCCTAGAGAGTGAGCGGCCTAGCGAATGAGCGGCCTAGCGAGTAGCAGCGGCCTAGCGAGTAGCAGCTGTCTAGCGAGTGAGCGGCCTAGCTGCTTGGGAGCTCGATCACGGGGCTGGGGCGACTACGACAGAACCACGCGGAGCCATCCTTGCTCCGTCGCCCTCAAGCTGCGGCATCTGGATCGGCGCAGCATCCCCCGCCCACTCATCCTTGTCGACGAGCACTTCGATGGTGCGCTTGACGTTGGCCTGGAAAGTCACGTCGGGCTTCGCGACCCTGTACTTCTCGAACTGCGGCCTGAAGCCCTGGCCGCCCGATGCCACAGCGACCATGGACTTGTGAGTCTGAGTCGTCGCCCTACGTAGTTTGAGGCGCACGCTCCCGACGTACGGGATGGTGGAGAAGCCCTTCTTCTGAACTGTCTCGATCAGCACCTCACTATAGGCCTCCACGCACTTGTGAGCGAAATGTTTCGTCACGTCGAGTTTGGCCGCCAACTTCCGCGCGAAATCTGCCTTGGTCTCCTGCCGATACTTCGGCGGCATGGCTGGTGATCAGCCCGAGGATGGCGGCCGCGCCGAGAACGTATGGCAAAGAAGCCTCGAGCCGAATGGTGACGGACGAAAAACAGCGGGCTTGTCTGAGCCCCGCCCGTAGAGCCCCACGGGGGCACCCCGTTCAAAGAAACCCACTGTTTTTTATTGCCCCGACGTGGCCACAGGAGGACCCCGAGGGAGCACCAGAGGGCCAGCAGGAGCCCAGGGAACAAGGGCCAGCAGGGGCCCAGGAGCCCAGAATTGTCCTAAGATGGTACCAAGAAACAGTGGCCCAGGAGGGCCCCCGAGGGACCCGCCGTTGAGCAGGCCCCACTGAGAGTTTGCTCCCTCATTATCCTTTACATGGTATCCCCAATGAGTAGCATTGAAAACTACTGATGCGGGCCCACGTCGGCCTTCTGCGTTTCCTGGGGCGGGGCCAACGACAATGCACCGAGAATGCACCCTGGGCGAACAATATCGGGCCCTCGCAGGGCCCTCTCAGGACCGAAGCGCAGGAGGAAGAGGAAGACGAGGAGGAGGAGGAGGAGGAGGAGGAGGAGGAGGAGGAGGAGGAGGAGGAAGAGGAGGAGGAGGAGGAGGAGGGGGGGAGGAGGTGGAGGAGGAGGAGGAGGAGGAGGGAGGAGGAGAGGAGGAGAGGAGGAGGAGGGAGGAGGAGGAGGAGGAGGAGGAGGAGGAGGAGGAGGAGGAGGAGGAGGAGGAGGAGGAGTAGGAGCGCTGGAGGGAGGGGGGGCAGCCGACGTAGGTCCTCCCCTCCATGGAAGCGGCGGCGGGGGGGTGGAGTCACGGGGGGCGAGGAGGCGGGGGGTCGAGGGCAGCGAGGGGCAGAATTTCCGCTCTGAGAACGTTTGCTGTGCCTGCGTATATACACACGGCGGCGGAGCGGGGGGCGGCTGCTGGTGCAAGGTCACGACCAGTAGCCCTTGCCCTTGTCGTCGGCCTGGCGTTCCGGCACGCCGGAGGTTTGAGGGGCAGGGGGGGCGCGGCGATCACGGGGGGGGAGGGTCAGAGAGGAGGCGAAGACGACGAGGATGAGGATGGGGGGAGGTGGACGAGGGGCCCCGCCCATGGGTTCGACTTGGGTTCCGCTCGTTACGATTGGGTTCGCTTGGCCCCGCCAATGGCTCGAACTCGCGTTCGGATAGGGGCCCGTCTGGAGAGGCGAGGGGGGGGGGGGGGAAAGAGGAGGTGGAGGTGGAGGTGGAGGTGGAGGTGGTGGAAGGAGGAGGAGGAGGGACATGGGGGAGGAGGGGGGGAGGCTCCTCCCCTTCTTAGGAGGAGGAGGAGGAGGAGGAGGAGGAGGAGGAGGAGGAGGAGGAGGAGGCGGGTTGGATGCGCAGGCGGAGGCGTCCTGCTGCCCCAGCGCGCGCTCCAGCGCGCGAGCGGCGGCGGGCCAGCCACTCTGGACCGATGGGCGGGGAGTGACTTGTGGCCCCTCTTGGGCGGGGAGTGACTTTTGGCCCCTCTTGGAGCCCCTCCGAGATCTTCCGAGCTCCCTGGGGAGGCCTAAGAGGGGCCCCAAGAGGCCTCCAAGAGGGCCCTTCAGAGCCCCAAGATAGGTCCAAGAGGGTTCCAAGAGAGACGAAAAACAGATGGATCACTTGTCTGGTTTTGGCCCCTCTTGGAGCCCCTCCGAGCTCCTCGGAGAGGCCTAAGAGAGGCCCCAAGAGGCCTCCAAGAGGGCCCGTCAGAGCCCCACGATGGTCCAAAAGGGCCCCAAGAGAGCCGAATAAAATAAATATATCACTGATCTATCTGGTTTTAGCCTCTCTTGGAGCCCCTCCGAGGTCTTCCGATCTCCTCGGGGAAGCCTAAGAGCGGCCCCAAGAGGCCTCCAAGATGGCCCTTGAGAGCCCCAAGATAGGTCCAAGAGGGTTCCAAGAGAGCTGAAAAAAACAAATAGATCACTGATCTATCTGGTTTGGGCCCCTCTTGGAGCCCCTCCGAGCTCCTTGGAGAGGCCCCTCCGAGAGGCGCTCCAAAAGAGTGACTGCCCCCCCCCCCCCGCCCAGAGGACTGGCCGCCAGTCCTCTGGGCGGGGAGGGGAGGGCGGAAGGGCGAGGAGGAGGAGGAGGCGGTGGAGGGGGAGGCGGAGGAGGAGGAGGAGGAGGAGGAGGAGGAGGAGGATCTCCCTCCCTCTCCACCCTCCTCCTCACTCATCCCCCCCTCCTCCTCCTCATCGCCCTCCTCATCATCATCGGCCTCGCCCATGGGGCGGGGGCCAGTGGGCAGGATGCGCGCG